TCTTTAATCACACTAATATTCCATTTTTATGTTGATCGTTTAATGTATAGAAAGTTGGGGGTATTACACAAATTTTGAATTGCATTCATCCATGGCCATACCATTGCAAAATTACATCATTACATGAGTAAATTTTATCATTTTACATTGTCGTTACATATCATCATCGTTCATGTGAAATTACACAACTTTGCATTACAATTGAAAGAAAAAGAAAAATTGAACTTCGTTCATGATTCAACATTACATGCACATATATCACGACATTACAATCGTCAATTTGGTTACACAGTTTCTACACCAATCCCACAAAATCATAAACAAATTCACTCACACACCATCACACATACCTCATCCTCTAACTTACATGGGTTATATCAACAAATATCTCAAATCTCACACACTTTGAATCCTCACACACTCACTTATTTCAAACCTAGAGCTCACGTATAAAGCCTAATTATTTTTACTAAATAAGCAACCAAGAACACACAAATTTGAGAGAGAAAAATGAATCACTAAGCTACCTTCATTATTTCTAAATTTGAGAACCAAGTATCTTTGCATTTGTGTGAAGCTCTTCTAGTTCATGAAGAGCTTCTAGTACCTGCATTGAGTAGAATTTGCATACGACTCCATTAATACCCCATCATTGAGCCCTTAAAATCACACAATCCAATCGCACCAGCCACACAAATTCAAGAATAATTTCAGAGGGAGAAATTATGAGTTGAGAAGAAGAAGTAGCAAAGGAAGATAAAGTTAAGAAAAATCATGATTACTTGGAAGTTTGACCTCACTGAAAGTTGAAGTTCTTCGTCGGAGAAACTCTTGCTTTGATTTGGTACTTCCCTTATGTTTCAATGCATTATCTTCACCTTTTCTTGATTCTGCGTATATGTCGAGCATTTCCCCAAAACTAATTGTTGTGAACTGTTGTTAATTCGACCGGATTAGATGATTTGATAAGTTAGATTTTATGTTTAATTTGGTGTGTTTTGTTGTTTGTTTGTAAGTTTGGGCTTTGGATTCATATTCAGAAGCTGATTTGTAATAAGTTTTATGTTGATTATTTCTAGATTTGAGGACGTTGTCATGAATTCTAGGTTTGGACACTCATGGTGTTCTTGAGGATATTCATAGATTTTTGGAAAAAAAGGTGTTTGATCTTAGAAACACAAGTGCAGAAAAGACTTTTTACATCGGGCAAAAAACACTTTTTACATCGGTTTAGGGTCCGATGTAAAGTCAAGTGATGTAATAAATCAAAGACATTAACACATCGATTATAAGTTAGGTCTGATGTGAAAAAGATACAACTTTTTTTTAATAAAATATACGCAATATTTTACATCGATTATAAGTTAGGTCCGATATAAAAGATATGATTTTACATAGATGGCCATATTGGTCTGATGTAAAAGATGTGTTTTACATCAGTTGCCTTAATTGTCCGATGTAAAATGTTTGTAATTTTTAGGAAAAAATTGACTATTTTTCAGCGGATTCCCTGTAATTTTTTTGGTACCTAATTTTTCATATTTTCCCAACATTACACAGACTATATTTAGGTAGCTACTTTCATATTTTTTAACCAAACTAATTTCATTCCACCAAATCTATGATGCACTATATTCTTCAAAATAAATAATTGAGTTACAACATGAACAATTGTATTATAAAATTATAAGGAAGTTTACACGATGCACTACAATAACAAAAATACAAAAATATCCAACCATTTATAAGTCTTTTCCCACACTTGAATTACCAATATGAAATCCAGAAGTAAATGAGTTGTAGCTTCGGTAGACAACACAAAAAAAAAAAAAATATATATATATATATATATATATATATATATATATATATATATATATATATATATATATATATATATATATATATATATATATATATATATATATATATATATATATATATATAGGGTCACCTACATAAGTCAAAGGATTCTATGATGTTTGATTTTGAATGGTATCTAGTATCTATGGGCAAACTTTCTTCGTAACCCAGATAACCCTCATTTTCATTCTATCTGAACAATTTAATAAAAGCATGATAAATACTAAATATGTATGTGATTGCAAAGATGAAATCATTCATCCGGTTAATATTGAAGGGGGAATCATCCTCAGCTAAATACATATGTTAAGGCCAATAAACGTCTCCATTATGATTGGAAAGCATTTTATTATGTTATACAAACACAATAATTAAAATAACCCAGGCAACCATGAGTTTTTAGAATAGGTCAAACCAAATTAACAAAGCTTTGTGAGACTTAAAAATCCATTTTCATGTTAACTTACTAACAAAGAGATGGAAGACTCGTTTAACAAGCAATTGTGACAAAGAAAATATGGAATGGAAATTAGTGAAAGTGAAAACAGGAAACATGGAAGAAAGCAGACATTAAAATCTTAAAGAATCATGTTCTATCCAAACCCAAAGCTCACTGTCATTTAAGCAAGTACTACACACACACAAAACAATCATCTAACAACAACTACTCTTCCTACAAAAATTATGATACCTCACATGTTTTACTATTTCTTCTTTTCTTTGTTTTTTCAGGTATTCGGTGCGGTAACAACTAGGTATCAGAGCCAATGGAGCTCTAAAAATACTCTCATCCTAATCCTACATACACACACATAAGTGTCGTCTACCAAAGAAAAACTAGTTGGAAATACTTCAAGCACCCCAAAACGCAAAATGCCGGCACGTATAACCTATAAAATATAGTACCACTTCACAATTTCAATATCATCAAAATCATATTCCAACAAAATTCAAAACTCATAGAACTTTCAAATCACTGCATTATAAGCTCAATCCTACTAATTTATACAAAATCAACAAAAATACGAATCACCGATTCATAGTAACGCTAAAAACACTTCTATTCATGCAAAAATTATTGAAAAATTAAATTGAATATATGAAAAATTAAACTGAATCTATGAAAAACTGTTGAACAAGGCAGAAAAAAGAAAATGAAGTGAATCGAGACCAAATAAACATAGAAATGAGAATGAAAAAAATAAAATGAGAAGAAACGACAAAATAGTATATACGATTACGCACCAATGAACAAAGAGCTCTGATCTATCACACATATCTCTCTTTCTCTAATTATTTCTCTGTGTGTGGCTCTGAGAGAGTGTTAGTTTGGGTTTTGAAATAGAACGAAAGAAACGGTGGTGACAGAGTTATTCGCTGGAGAAGCCGCTAGAGAAGTCACATCCAGTCGAGATGAGCTGCACCGAAGGTGGTTCGGAGGGCTTACAAAGGCAAGGCGGAGATGGAGGTTAAAAAGATGGAGTTCGTAAGGAGACAGAGACAAAGGCGAGAGAGAAGGTTTGAGAGAATGTAAAAGTGAAAGGACAAAATATTAGGATTAGGGTTTTATGAAAATAAGAGGAGGTTTTTACATCGGTTGGCCAATTGGCCCGATGTAACGACCAATAAAAAATTCACCTTATTTACAAAACTATCACCGTTTTTTTGTTTTTTATTACTGGAAGCTTTTACATCGGTTGGGACAATAAACCAATGTAACGTCTAATTTTTTATTTTATAAAAAAAATCCACCTTATTTAGAAAAAAACCACCGTGTTTTTATTTTTTATCATTGGAAGCTTTTATATCGCTTGGGACATTAACCCGATGTAACATCCAATTTTTTATTTATCCATCTTATTTACCAAACTACCACCGTGTTATATTTTTCCCTAAATCAAATTTTTTTCATATCATTGGAAATAAAGGTCTGATGTAAAATCTTTTGACAAATATTTTTTATATCATATATTTTTATACTTGATATAAAGACATTTTCTCAAATGTCATATTTTTAGTAGTGAAAGTGGGAGGGGTGGGTGTTCGCATGTTAGAGGAGGAAGAGCACCTGACTAAGGAGAGAGAAATATCTTTGAAAAATGAGAGGATTTCGTTTGATCCCATTTTTTATTCATGTGCGAAGCACTATACTGAGGGACACATGTCATCTCCTGTGCCCTTGGATCCCTGGCCCCTGATCATGCGTTGACTCCCTAGTATGCAAAATTGGTGGCTCTACATGAGTTAACCTTTCCCATTTGACCTTGGATTCGTTGAGCCTCCAGATATGGGCCTCTCCCCTTGTTTTACTTACCCATACCCTCTTATTTATTCACAAAACTAACTAAATAGTTCTCGTTGACTACAATAGATGTGTGGAGTACTAATACCTTCCTTGCACATAATCGACTCAAAAACTTGAATTTGGTTGCGACAATCATATTTTTATTCTTTTAGTATTTTATTGACATTTTCCCTTTCAAAAATAAACTTTGGTAACGACTTTGTTGTATTACGAGCATTTGTACGCTCGAGTATTTTTCGCTCCGCATAAACTATGGAACAACAACCCTTAAAACCATTTTAAATAAAAATGCCAAACATGAAAAAATGTGTCCCGACAATCAGATATTGTTTCTATTTGTCACTTTTGTTTCATAATCGACAATTAATCTTTTATAAAATAAATCTAAAGACTTACTCCCTCCGGTCTCATATGTAAGCAAAAAAAAAAAGCTCACCCTTTAAGAAAGTGGCTATATATTCATTTAAGTAATGGAAAATATACATTTTTTCCATATTTACCCTTATTTATTAATTTAGAAATAAATTAATATTTTTATTATAACCATTTAATGGTTAGTCAATTTTTATTAATACCATTTAATGGTTAGTCATTTAGTGGTTATATATTCCACTTACTCTTATTAAAATTTCCTGTAGAAATTTGTCCCGCCTAAAAACAACACTTCTTAGTCCATTTACTGTATTCTCCACCCGCCTAAATTTCCATGGTCCCGCCCTGTAGAAATTTAACATTTTCATAGTGAGTTCTATAAATACTAAAGCTTTTGGTTCTCATTTTCATAGCCAAAATTTTACATTTCCTGTATCATTATCTTTTGGTTCTCATAAAAATGCCTCTTAATATTGATCTAAACACTCCATATATTGATCATGAAATGATGGAATGCAACATAGCACCATCCATTAATCTAAATGATCCTTCTTCAAGTAATTTTAACTTGTCTTTTAAGGACCTACATGGTAGTTCATCAAATGAAGAATACATGGAAGAAGCTAATATGTTCAATTGTGAAAATGATTTTGAACATGGTTTTTTTAATATTAATGAGGACATTGATGTTGATGCTTTATATTCAAATGAAGTTCATGTCATGGAAGAAGGTAATATGCTCTAATACTTTTATGTTAGATAATTTTTGAACAACTTAATTAATTTTTTTCACTTTTAATACTGTTTTATAAAATTGCAGAGAGTGAATTTATTCCAAATGAAGAAGATGGAGAGGAGACTGAATTTAATCAATATGAAAGTGATGGAGAAACTGAAAGTATTGCAGCTAGTAAGATTTTTTATCATATCATTATATTTTTGTTTGTTCATATCATTACTGTGTCATCTTTTTTTCATATCATATCATTACTTTTTGTTTTCTATTCATTACTACATTGCCATATTTTGTTTATAAATATAAAACATGCATGAGTCATGCATTAGCAACAAACATGAGACATGCATAAATTAATATAAATGGAGTGTCATCATTTGTTTTCTATTCATTACAGAGCCATATTTTGTTTGCCAATAAGAACATGTAGTAACAAACATGAGACAGTAGCAGCGTAGCAGCATATACTTGTTTCTTAATTATTTTCAATTTTTTCATGCAGTGTCCACAATGGTTCAACATGAACCTGAAACTTTTAAGAAAAAAAGATCATTTTTAAACAATGATCAACGGAAAATAATTGCTCAATTATTGATAAAGAATAGTTGTGGTGGAAAACTAAAATCCGGAACTGTTATATGGTTGGCATCCAAATACTCGGTATCCATCGATGTTATTTATCGAATTTGGAAGCAAGTATCTCAAACAGGTGATGCGTCTCATAAAAGAACAAAAAATTGTGGTCGGAAAAGAGTTGCGGTAGATATTGAAAAAGTGCGGGATATTTCGTTAGCTAAACGTAGCACTCTTCAGAGCCTCGCATTTGCCTTGGGCATTAGCAAAACAACATTGTTTAAGTTTGTAAAGGATGGGACTTTGCGTCGGCATTCAAATGCTCTAAAGCCACAAATGAAAGATAGCAATATGAAAGATCGTCTTAGATTTTGCTTGTCCATGCTTGAAGAAACTAGTCTTCCTCATGATCCGGAGTTTAAGTCTATGCATAATATCGTCCACATAGATGAAAAATGGTTCTACATGACCAAAAAATCAGCTAACTACTACCTTCTTGAAAATGAGGATGAGCCATATCGCACATGCAAAAATAAAAATTTTATTGGAAAAGTCATGTTTTTAGTAGCAGTCGCTAGGCCTAGATTTGATGACGGTTCTAGGCCTAGCGACTACTACTAAAAACATGACTTTTCCAATAAAATTTTTATTTTTGCATGTGCGATATGGCTCATCCTCATTTTCAAGAAGGTAGTAGTTAGCTGATTTTTTGGTCATGTAGAACCATTTTTCATCTATGTGGACGATATTATGCATAGACTTAAACTTTGGATCATGAGGAAGACTAGTTTCTTCAAGCATGGACAAGCAAAATCTAAGACGATCTTTCATATTTCTATCTTTCATTTGTGGCTTTAGAGCATTTGAATGCCGACGCAAAGTCCCATCCTTTACAAACTTAAACAATGCTGTTTTGCTAATGCCCAAGGCAAATGCGAGGCTCTGAAGAGTGCTACGTTTAGCTAACGAAATATCCCGCACTTTTTCAATATCTACCGCAACTCTTTTCCGACCACAATTTTTTGTTCTTTTATGAGACGCATCACCTGTTTGAGATACTTGCTTCCAAATTCGATAAATAACATCGATGGATACCGAGTATTTGGATGCCAACCATATAACAGTTCCGGATTTTAGTTTTCCACCACAACTATTCTTTATCAATAATTGAGCAATTATTTTCCGTTGATCATTGTTTAAAAATGATCTTTTTTTCTTAAAAGTTTCAGGTTCATGTTGAACTATTGTGGACACTGCATGAAAAAATTGAAAATAATTAAGAAACAAGTATATGCTGCTACGCTGCTACTGTCTCATGTTTGTTACTACATGTTCTTATTGGCAAACAAAATATGGCTCTGTAATGAATAGAAAACAAATGATGACACTCCATTTATATTAATTTATGCATGTCTCATGTTTGTTGCTAATGCATGACTCATGCATGTTTTATATTTATAAACAAAATATGGCAATGTAGTAATGAATAGAAAACAAAAAGTAATGATATGATATGAAAAAAAGATGACACAGTAATGATATGAACAAACAAAAATATAATGATATGATAAAAAATCTTATTAGCTGCAATACTTTCAGTTTCTCCATCACTTTCATATTGATTAAATTCAGTCTCCTCTCCATCTTCTTCATTTGGAATAAATTCACTCTCTGCAATTTTATAAAACAGTATTAAAAGTGAAAAAAATTAATTAAGTTGTTCAAAAATTATCTAACATAAAAGTATTAGAGCATATTACCTTCTTCCATGACATGAACTTCATTTGAATATAAAGCATCAACATCAATGTCCTCATTAATATTAAAAAAACCATGTTCAAAATCATTTTCACAATTGAACATATTAGCTTCTTCCATGTATTCTTCATTTGATGAACTACCATGTAGGTCCTTAAAAGACAAGTTAAAATTACTTGAAGAAGGATCATTTAGATTAATGGATGGTGCTATGTTGCATTCCATCATTTCATGATCAATATATGGAGTGTTTAGATCAATATTAAGAGGCATTTTTATGAGAACCAAAAGATAATGATACAGGAAATGTAAAATTTTGGCTATGAAAATGAGAACCAAAAGCTTTAGTATTTATAGAACTCACTATGAAAATGTTAAATTTCTACATGGCGGGACCATGGAAATTTAGGCGGGTGGAGAATAGAGTAAATGGACTAAGAAGTGTTGTTTTTAGGCGGGACAAATTTCTACAGGAAATTTTAGTAAGAGTAAGTGGAATATATAACCACTAAATGACTAACCATTAAATGGTATTAATAAAAATTGACTAACCATTAAATGGTTATAATAAAAATATTAATCTATTTCTAAATTAATAAATAAAGGTAAATATGGAAAAAATGTATATTTTTCATTACTTAAATGAATATATAGCCACTTTCTTAAAGGGTGAGCTTTTTTTTTTTTTTGCTTACATATGAGACCGGATGGAGTATATTGTATAAATATATGGTGTCCCACACTAACATATTTCTATTTATATTTATGAAAATGAAAGTTGGATGTTTATGTAATTTGAATTTAATAGTGTAAATAAATTTTATAAGGTCAGTTAATCATAACCGTTAAAATTTTAATAATATTTAATTTTTATTTTAATTATTTAAAGAATATGATTGCGATATGATGGTATAACAAAGTATATGAATTAATCTCATCTAATTTACCTACAAATCACATTAAAATTCTAAAATTAAATTCTTTTAACAAATATAAAATAACAAAACAACACATACTTAAGATTCAACAACTATATTTTTTCCCACAGTATCCTTTTACATAAATAAAACTCTATTTTTATAAAAATACATTAAACTTTCACCATTATTACTTCCCCAATTAGTCTACTAACACGACAGCTAAGCATGATTAGGCAAATTTATCATAAAAAAACAACCTCACACGTGACAACACACGTAGATACAGTCTCTAGAGTTTCAAGGAACAACACAACAGTACATACATACACACAGTATTTTTTTTTCCTTCCAGTTCAGTTGATAGATAGTAAATAACAATTTCACAGTTCACCGGAGTCAGAAAAATTATAAAGCCTGGGCAACAAATTAAAGACCGCAAATTCACATTGTATATAATATATAAATAGTTATCAATCAAAATAAAAAAGACTCGTCATTTTGTCAACAAAAATATAATTTAAAATAAAAGAGATAAACATAACCTTACAATAGCGGGTTAAATAAAATCACGAGACAAGTGTTATTTTCAAGACTTCTTTGCGATAAATGTTTGAATAATATCAATATCATCAAGTGACTTGAATATCTCTTGCTCGGTGTAACATACCATCAAGTCATTAAACCATACACGTTGATCTTATTGCGCAATTTAGACTTGATAATATTCATTGCTGAAAAAGCTCTTTCAATGGATGCTATCGACACCGACAATATTAAAGTTAACTCAATAAGTTTATAAACCGATGGAAATACCAAATATTTCTCAGTTTGAAACATCTTCATAGCCAAACTTTGAACATCTTCACAAGTGGAAAATAAAGCATTTCTTCTCACTTGAAGAACATAAGTGTCAAGTTGATCCCTTATTGTTCCTCGGTCATCATCAGAAAAGTATGCATGATAAATATCAGCAAGACGTGCAAGCTTATCAACATTAAACTTGGAGAAAGAGTTCTTGGGGTCAAGACACGAGAAGTAATTCAGGATAATATTATTTCATTCACTAAAGCGATGATCCATCTCCACATATATTTTGTCAATAGCAACATAAAAAATCTTTGCATGATAATGATAAAGATTAGTGATAGTCCTCACTTCTACCCTTGAATGGCCACGGAAAACCATGCCTTGTGCTATGAGATATCTTGAACAATCTACAAAACAAGTCAAATGAATCTTATACATGTATTCCTTGTTTACTTTAGCAAACTTATTTGTCACACTTTGTCTTTGATTATTATAATCATCGTAGTGCTTGACATATGAGTTGTGAAAACTATTATGGTACCAACGTGACCTTTCAAGCCTTGAGATGTATGCTTATATTATCTATATCTGCTTTTAATGAAGACTTCACTACGCCAAAAATGATTTTTTGTATCACCTAATTTAATAGCACTTTTAAAAAAAATGCTATTAAAATGGAAAAAACACATTTATAATAGCACTTTTTAATCGGGCGCTATTATATAATACAGACTATGTAATTATGATAGCACTTTGTACCAGAACGCTATTATTAAACTTCTTTAAGATAGCATTTTGTATAAAACGCTATTATTTGACTACCTATATAATAGAATTTATTAAAAAGCGCTATGTTATATATAATAATGAATTAATTAATTAATTGATAAAAAAAAAACACACATTTTCAGAAAATTGGGTGTTGGTGCTATTTAAGAAAACTTTATGGGTGATTTTGACAGTTGCACGTCCAAACAACAAAACTGGAGACACCTCCTTGTCAATCGTCTCTGAGCTTTCCGATCTCCGCCGCTCTCAATCCGTGTCACTCCCGGTAAGTCATCCACCACCGTTCTCCGTTCTTTTCTCTTCTCTATAGCTTTTCCCCACTTGTATCAATCTCATTATCTCTTCTGGTTTGCCCGCAAAGTGTTTGATAAATGTTCTGACCATGGTTTTCTATCAACCTTAGAGAAAGAGGAATCATCAATAACACTATTCATTCTCCTCTAATAGTTTCCCTTTCAAATTGCTTATTTCTTTTAGGGAATAGTATTATGATAATTTGCTTCCTTTAGAATGAACACTCCCGGAGAAGATGATGGAATTGAGAGGTTAGAGAATACTTTTTGGGCTGTTTTTTCAGATTGTGTTTTACTGAAGCTTAGAAGAAACCCAGTCCTGTTTCAACTCTTTATTATTAGATTAAAAATGTGTAAATTACATTTTTTTTTCTTTTCTTGTAATCTCTTCTATAGTATCCCTGTTTTAAGGTGAAGAGGTGGTGATAAGTTTAATCAGAGATTCATAGTATAAAACTACTGAATATACATTGGCAGTTAGTTGTCATAGATGAATTGTTTAGAGATCAAGTGTAAGTGATTTAATCCTACATTGACTATAAATGGGAGGGAATGAAATCAATCAAGCGGTGTAAGAGTCTAGTTAGGATTTTTAAACAAAGACTTAATATCTAATTGTGAAATTGGTCCCAACTAAAAATCCTGCTCAATCTGCATTAGAGAATCCTTCACTTGGCAAGTAATGTGACCTTGGTTACACCCTACAATCTGAAGTTTTGTTTTGTGTGATGACATGAAAAACTAACTACACTCACTAATAAAGCAATACTAGGTTGCATAACTGAGATAGTTTAAGTTTCTCACAAATTCCCTTTGACACATTTTTTAGTGTGAAATACTAAAGTGATAGGGTTGGGTGCAAGACTTTGTAGCGACCTCTATTTGTGGTGGAATTGCAACCCAAAACCGTTATTGCGTATGCTATTAGAATTTTAGGAATAAATAGGAATGAAGTTTTATGGAGAGCAAAAAAGTCAGTACATTGGTTGAAGATGAGTTGAAAAGTTTGTTCTAGTTTGAGTGATAAGGCTTCTGTTGTTTTGGTGTGATTTAGTCACAATTAATCGATTCTTCTTTTCAATCCAAGCAAAATATTTGGCCACTCGCCTTCGATCTTCTTACAAACCTTCTTCTGAACTTCAGCTCTCTGATCTTCTCCAGTTTGCACATTGTACTTCTCTTCTATTTCATCTTACGATTTTGTAATATAAGCATGATCTTGTTTGATATGATATGATAGTGTTTCAGCTTTACAAGAGATGCCTATTGCAGTTAGTACTGATAAGCCTAAATCTCAGCATTATGAACTACCAACCTCTTTCTTTAAGTTCGTTCTCGGAAACAATCTCAAATACAGGTACGATTACAGATTCATATACTGATAGCCTTGTTAGTTGATATAGCTAACTTCATAGAAGCTATAAGTTGTTTTCATAAACTATTCTGAAAACTGAAGAGCTTATAGAAATAAGGTGAAAGCAGTTTATAGACGATAAGCTTAAATATGCACATATAAGTTATAACCTTGTGATTTGTGTAAGACTCTTATATGTATGAACTGGTGCAGTTCTTGTTATTTCTCTTCTACGTCAAAGACGCTGGAAGATGCTGAAGAAGAAATGTTGAAACTGTATTGCGAGAGATCAAATCTGAAAGATGGTCATACAGTTCTTGACGTTGGATGCAGTTGGGGTTCTCTTACTTTATATATTGCCAAGAATTACAGTAATTGCAGAGTTACAGGAATCTGCAATTCCATAACTCAAAAAGCTTTTATCGAGGAGAAATGCGTGTATATTACTTGAAACTGTTATTATTTGTGAAAAACCTATTGTATGATGACCGAAATCACTTTCTTGCATTGGCCTCTTGTCAGGGAGCTGCAGCTGCAAAATGTGGACATCATTGTTGCGGACATTAGCACATTTGAAATGGAAGCTTCTTACGACAGAATATTTTCCATAGAAATGTTTGAGGTTTGATTTTGTTGGTAAATCATCTGCATTGAAGTGGTATTTCATTAAATTTGATTTAAGTTTTAACCCTGTCACAGCATATGAAGAACTATAAAGATCTTCTAAACAAGATATCCAAATGGATGAAAGAGGATGGTCTTTTATTTGTTGCTCATTTCTGCCACAAAGCATTTGCCTACCACTTTGAGGTAAACTTCATATTTTGTCTGTTATTTTTGCTTGCGATATTAGTTGATGCCTTAATAACAGTACTCGAGTTCTCAAAGATACTAGTCATTTGATTACTGTTACTTGCTACTCATACGTAAAGGACAAAAATGAAGATGATTGGATTACGAGATACTTCTTTACTGGAGGAACTATGCCTGCAGCAAATCTACTTCTTTATTTTCAAGTATGCGTATTACATACTAGCTTACAGTTGTTTTAGCTATGATTTCCTTTGAGATAAATATGAAGAAAAATTCAACAAAAAATATGTTTACTTT